AAACAGGAGATCCTGGGTTCGAATCCCAGCGGTGCCTGGTGTTTATAGTAAACGTTTTCAGGCATGTTGCATCAAAACGACGGCTCCCTCGCCATTTTGACAGCGTCCTATGGGCTCTGTGGCGCAATGGATAGCGCATTGGACTTCTAGACATAGGTTTGAGGCCATTCAAAGGTTGTGGGTTCGAGTCCCACCAGAGTCAGGAGTTTTCTCACCTTGCGAGAGTTGAGTCCCCTGTGTCTGCTGCTCCCTTCCTAAGCACAGGCTAAGCACTGTGAAAGAGAGGGAAGCACAGGTTTGTGCATGAGGCCATTCTCACCCTCTATGCTGGAATGCTTTGTTTCCTCCGCGTTCAGGCACTCACACACTTGGCCGCTGTTCCAAAATTTCATTCCCCAGTTGTGCATCAAAAGATGGGTGTATGAGTTCGCAAGAGTCCCTACTGTATAAAGTTGAAGAATCCGACGCATCCGATGTACATCAATGGCTTGAAGCTGTTTTGGGACCATTCATCCCACGGCTTCCAATTTTAGAAAAGCGTGCAGATCCAGGAACTACTCAGTGTTTGTTTGGTTCAGGACTTTTAGCCAGCAGTCCTGGAGGACCCCAGTATGTGAAGTGTTGCATTCTGTCATTGCACTCACCTGATCCAACTCACAAGGTAATCAGTAGGGCCTTCACGGAGAAATCAGCTTTTTTGCGAAAGGGCGGTCCTTACGTTGCTGTCGTCTGCCAGAGTCCAGTTTTTGTCACCTTTTCCACTATTAAAGCGACTGTCTTAGTCGGTCTAAGCGGCTGCCTAGTACACCGCAGGTCCTGGATGTGCATTCCAACGGTGGCTATTAGGTCTCTCCAAGATTGTCAGGAATGTCGCATATAAATAAATAGCCCACTTAGGTTTTGGACAAATGATTGTTTTTCTTGCTCTGTGGCCTTACCTCTTTTTTCTGATGCTTTATGTGAGTCTTATGGTTAGATTACAGGATCCACTGCGTCTGTCCATTTTGTTAACCGTTTGTGGGAGAGTTGCTCAAGTTAGGCTTTTGTTGGATTTAATGCTGCTCAAGTCAATAGAAAAGCCTGGGTCTGACTCCCAGCGGCGACTGTTACTTGTACTGTTTGCTCAAAAGCCTGTCAAAGAGCAATACGGAGCACTGCAGCACGAGGACCCCTTTCGCTCTGCAGGCTGCGGCGCCGTGGCTTAGTTGGTCCAAAGCGCCTGTCTAGTAAACAGGAGATCCTGGGTTCGAATCCCAGCGGTGCCTGGTGTTTATAGCAAACGTTTTCAGGCATGTTGCATCAAAACGACGGCTCCCTCGCCATTTTGACAGCGTCCTATGGGCTCTGTGGCGCAATGGATAGCGCATTGGACTTCTAGACATAGGTTTGAGGCCATTCAAAGTTGTGGGTTCGAGTCCCACCAGAGTCGGGAGTTTTCTCACCTTGCGAGAGTTGAGTCCCCTGTGTCTGCTGCTCCCTTCCTAAGCACAGGCTAAGCACTGTGAAAGAGAGGAAGCACATGTGGCTGAGGCATTCTCACCCTCTATGCTGGAATGCTTTGTTTTCCTCCGCGTTCAGGCACTCACACACTTGGCCGCTGTTCCAAATTTCATTCCCCAGTTGTGCATCAAAAGATGGGTGTATGAGTTCGCAAGAGTCCCTACTGTATAAAGTTGAAGAATCCGACGCATCCGATGTACATCAATGGCTTGAAGCTGTTTTGGGACCATTCATCCCACGGCTTCCAATTTTAGAAAAGCGTGCAGATCCAGGAACTACTCAGTGTTTGTTTGGTTCAGGACTTTAGCCAGCAGTCCTGGAGGACCCCAGTATGTGAAGTGTTGCATTCTGTCATTGCACTCACCTGATCCAACTCACAAGGTAATCAGTAGGGCCTTCACGAGAATCAGCTTTTTTGCGAAAGGGCGGTCCTTACGTTGCTGTCGTCTGCCAGAGTCCAGTTTTTTGTCACCTTTTCCACTATTAAGCGACTGTCTTAGTCGGTCTAAGCGGCTGCCTAGTACACCGCAGGTCCTGGATGTGCATTCCAACGGTGGCTATTAGGTCTCTCCAAGTTGTCAGGAATGTCGCATATAAATAAATAGCCCACTTAGGTTTTGGACAAATGATTGTTTTTCTTGCTCTGTGGCTTTACCTCTTTTTTCTGATGCTTTATGTGAGTCTTATGGGTTAGATTACAGGATCACTGCGTCTGTCCATTTTGTTAACCGTTTGTGGGAGAGTTGCTCAAGTTAGGCTTTTGTTGGATTTAATGCTGCTCAAGTCAATAGAAAAGCCTGGGTCTGACTCCCAGCGGCGACTGTTACTTGTACTGTTTTGCTCAAAGCCTGTCAAAGAGCAATACGGAGCACTGCAGCACGAGGACCCCTTTCGCTCTGCAGGCTGCGGCGCCGTGGCTTAGTTGGTCAAAGCGCTGTCTAGTAAACAGGAGATCCTGGGTTCGAATCCAGCGGTGCCTGGTGTTTATAGTAAACGTTTTCAGGCATGTTGCATCAAAACGACGGCTCCCTCGCCATTTTGACAGCGTCCTATGGGCTCTGTGGCGCAATGGATAGCGCATTGGACTTCTAGACATAGGTTTGAGGCCATTCAAAGGTTGTGGGTTCGAGTCCCACCAGAGTCGGGAGTTTTCTCACCTTGCGAGAGTTGAGTCCCTGTGTCTGCTGCTCCCTTCCTAAGCACAGGCTAAGCACTGTGAAAGAGAGGGAAGCACAGGTTTGTGCATGAGGCCATTCTCACCCTCTATGCTGGAATGCTTTGTTTCCTCCGCGTTCAGGCACTCACACACTTGGCCGCTGTTCCAAAATTTCATTCCCCAGTTGTGCATCAAAAGATGGTGTATGAGTTCGCAAGAGTCCTACTGTATAAGTGAAGAATCCGACGCATCTGATGTACATCAATGCTTGAAGCTGTTTTGGGACCATTCATCCACGGCTTCCAATTTTAGAAAAGCGTGCAGATCCAGGAACTACTCAGTGTTTGTTTGGTTCAGGACTTTTAGCCAGCAGTCCTGGAGGACCCCAGTATGTGAAGTGTTGCATTCTGTCATTGCACTCACCTGATCCAACTCACAAGGTAATCAGTAGGGCCTTCACGAGAAATCAGCTTTTTGCGAAGGGCGGTCCTTACGTTGCTGTCGTCTGCCAGAGTCCAGTTTTTGTCACCTTTTCCACTATTAAAGCGACTGTCTTAGTCGGTCTAAGCGGCTGCCTAGTACAAAACCGCAGGTCCTGGATGTGCATTCCAACGGTGGCTATTAGGTCTCTCCCAAGATTGTCAGGAATGTCGCATATAAATAAATAGCCCACTTAGGTTTTGGACAAATGATTGTTTTTCTTGCTCTGTGGCCTTACCTCTTTTTTCTGATGCTTTATGTGAGTCTTATGGTTAGATTACAGGATCCACTGCGTCTGTCCATTTTGTTAACCGTTTGTGGGAGAGTTGCTCAAGTTAGCTTTTGTTGGATTTAATGCTGCTCAAGTCAATAGAAAAGCCTGGGTCTGACTCCCAGCGGCGACTGTTACTTGTACTGTTTGCTCAAAAGCCTGTCAAAGAGCAATACGGAGCACTGCAGCACGAGGACCCCTTTCCCTCTGCAGGCTGCGGCGCCGTGGCTTAGTTTGGTCAAGCGCCTGTCTAGTAAACAGGAGATCCTGGGTTCGAATCCCAGCGGTGCCTGGTGTTTATAGTAAACGTTTTCAGGCATGTTGCATCAAACGACGGCTCCCTCGCCATTTTGACAGCGTCCTATGGGCTCTGTGGCGCAATGGATAGCGCATTGGACTTCTAGACATAGGTTTGAGGCCATTCAAAGGTTGTGGGTTCGAGTCCCACCAGAGTCGGGAGTTTTCTCACCTTGCGAGAGTTGAGTCCCCTGTGTCTGCTGCTCCCTTCCTAAGCACAGGCTAAGCACTGTGAAAGAGAGGGAAGCACAGGTTTGTGCATGAGGCCATTCTCACCCTCTATGCTGGAATGCTTTGTTTCCTCCGCGTTCAGGCACTCACACACTTGGCCGCTGTTCCAAAATTTCATTCCCCAGTTGTGCATCAAAAGATGGGTGTATGAGTTCGCAAGAGTCCCTACTGTATAAAGTTGAAGAATCCGACGCATCTGATGTACATCAATGGCTTGAAGCTGTTTTGGGACCATTCATCCCACGGCTTCCAATTTTAGAAAAGCGTGCAGATCTAGGAACTACTCAGTGTTTGTTTGGTTCAGGACTTTTAGCCAGTAGTCCTGGAGGACCCCAGTATGTGAAGTGTTGCATTCTGTCATTGCACTCACCTGATCCAACTCACAAGGTAATCAGTAGGGCCTTCACGGAGAAATCAGCTTTTTTGCGAAAGGGCGGTCCTTACGTTGCTGTCGTCTGCCAGAGTCCAGTTTTTGTCACCTTTTCCACTATTAAAGCGACTGTCTTAGTCGGTCTAAGCGGCTGCCTAGTACACCGCAGGTCCTGGATGTGCATTCCAACGGTGGCTATTAGGTCTCTCCAAGATTGTCAGGAATGTCGCATATAAATAAATAGCCCACTTAGGTTTTGGACAAATGATTGTTTTTCTTGCTCTGTGGCCTTACCTCTTTTTTCTGATGCTTTATGTGAGTCTTATGGTTAGATTACAGGATCCACTGCGTCTGTCCATTTTGTTAACCGTTTGTGGGAGAGTTGCTCAAGTTAGGCTTTTGTTGGATTTAATGCTGCTCAAGTCAATAGAAAAGCCTGGGTCTGACTCCCAGCGGCGACTGTTACTTGTACTGTTTGCTCAAAAGCCTGTCAAAGAGCAATACGGAGCACTGCAGCACGAGGACCCCTTTCGCTCTGCAGGCTGCGGCGCCGTGGCTTAGTTGGTCAAAGCGCCTGTCTAGTAAACAGGAGATCCTGGGTTCGAATCCCAGCGGTGCCTGGTGTTTATAGTAAACGTTTTCAGGCATGTTGCATCAAAACGACGGCTCCCTCGCCATTTTGACAGCGTCCTATGGGCTCTGTGGCGCAATGGATAGCGCATTGGACTTCTAGACATAGGTTTGAGGCCATTCAAAGGTTGTGGGTTCGAGTCCCCACCAGAGTCGGGAGTTTTCTCACCTTGCGAGAGTTGAGTCCCCTGTGTCTGCTGCTCCCTTCCTAAGCACAGGCTAAGCACTGTGAAAGAGAGGGAGCACAGGTTTGTGCATGAGGCCATTCTCACCCTCTATGCTGGAATGCTTTGTTTCCTCCGCGTTCAGGCACTCACACACTTGGCCGCTGTTCCAAAATTTCATTCCCCAGTTGTGCATCAAAAGATGGGTGTATGAGTTCGCAAGAGTCCCTACTGTATAAAGTTGAAGAATCCGACGCATCTGATGTACATCAATGGCTTGAAGCTGTTTTGGGACCATTCATCCCACGGCTTCCAATTTTAGAAAAGCGTGCAGATCTAGGAACTACTCAGTGTTTGTTTGGTTCAGGACTTTTAGCCAGTAGTCCTGGAGGACCCCAGTATGTGAAGTGTTGCATTCTGTCATTGCACTCACCTGATCCAACTCACAAGGTAATCAGTAGGGCCTTCACGGAGAAATCAGCTTTTTTGCGAAAGGGCGGTCCTTACGTTGCTGTCGTCTGCCAGAGTCCAGTTTTTGTCACCTTTTCCACTATTAAAGCGACTGTCTTAGTCGGTCTAAGCGGCTGCCTAGTACACCGCAGGTCCTGGATGTGCATTCCAACGGTGGCTATTAGGTCTCTCCAAGATTGTCAGGAATGTCGCATATAAATAAATAGCCCACTTAGGTTTTGGACAAATGATTGTTTTTCTTGCTCTGTGGCCTTACCTCTTTTTTCTGATGCTTTATGTGAGTCTTATGGTTAGATTACAGGATCCACTGCGTCTGTCCATTTTGTTAACCGTTTGTGGGAGAGTTGCTCAAGTTAGGCTTTTGTTGGATTTAATGCTGCTCAAGTCAATAGAAAAGCCTGGGTCTGACTCCCAGCGGCGACTGTTACTTGTACTGTTTGCTCAAAAGCCTGTCAAAGAGCAATACGGAGCACTGCAGCACGAGGACCCCTTTCGCTCTGCAGGCTGCGGCGCCGTGGCTTAGTTGGTCAAAGCGCCTGTCTAGTAAACAGGAGATCCTGGGTTCGAATCCCAGCGGTGCCTGGTGTTTATAGTAAACGTTTTCAGGCATGTTGCATCAAAACGACGGCTCCCTCGCCATTTTGACAGCGTCCTATGGGCTCTGTGGCGCAATGGATAGCGCATTGGACTTCTAGACATAGGTTTGAGGCCATTCAAAGGTTGTGGGTTCGAGTCCCACCAGAGTCGGGAGTTTTCTCACCTTGCGAGAGTTGAGTCCCCTGTGTCTGCTGCTCCCTTCCTAAGCACAGGCTAAGCACTGTGAAAGAGAGGGAAGCACAGGTTTGTGCATGAGGCCATTCTCACCCTCTATGCTGGAATGCTTTGTTTCCTCCGCGTTCAGGCACTCACACACTTGGCCGCTGTTCCAAAATTTCATTCCCCAGTTGTGCATCAAAAGATGGGTGTATGAGTTCGCAAGAGTCCCTACTGTATAAAGTTGAAGAATCCGACGCATCCGATGTACATCAATGGCTTGAAGCTGTTTTGGGACCATTCATCCCACGGCTTCCAATTTTAGAAAAGCGTGCAGATCCAGGAACTACTCAGTGTTTGTTTGGTTCAGGACTTTTAGCCAGCAGTCCTGGAGGACCCCAGTATGTGAAGTGTTGCATTCTGTCATTGCACTCACCTGATCCAACTCACAAGGTAATCAGTAGGGCCTTCACGGAGAAATCAGCTTTTTTGCGAAAGGGCGGTCCTTACGTTGCTGTCGTCTGCCAGAGTCCAGTTTTTGTCACCTTTTCCACTATTAAAGCGACTGTCTTAGTCGGTCTAAGCGGCTGCCTAGTACACCGCAGGTCCTGGATGTGCATTCCAACGGTGGCTATTAGGTCTCTCCAAGATTGTCAGGAATGTCGCATATAAATAAATAGCCCACTTAGGTTTTGGACAAATGATTGTTTTTCTTGCTCTGTGGCCTTACCTCTTTTTTCTGATGCTTTATGTGAGTCTTATGGTTAGATTACAGGATCCACTGCGTCTGTCCATTTTGTTAACCGTTTGTGGGAGAGTTGCTCAAGTTAGGCTTTTGTTGGATTTAATGCTGCTCAAGTCAATAGAAAAGCCTGGGTCTGACTCCCAGCGGCGACTGTTACTTGTACTGTTTGCTCAAAAGCCTGTCAAAGAGCAATACGGAGCACTGCAGCACGAGGACCCCTTTCGCTCTGCAGGCTGCGGCGCCGTGGCTTAGTTGGTCAAAGCGCCTGTCTAGTAAACAGGAGATCCTGGGTTCGAATCCCAGCGGTGCCTGGTGTTTATAGTAAACGTTTTCAGGCATGTTGCATCAAAACGACGGCTCCCTCGCCATTTTGACAGCGTCCTATGGGCTCTGTGGCGCAATGGATAGCGCATTGGACTTCTAGACATAGGTTTGAGGCCATTCAAAGGTTGTGGGTTCGAGTCCCACCAGAGTCGGGAGTTTTCTCACCTTGCGAGAGTTGAGTCCCCTGTGTCTGCTGCTCCCTTCCTAAGCACAGGCTAAGCACTGTGAAAGAGAGGGAAGCACAGGTTTGTGCATGAGGCCATTCTCACCCTCTATGCTGGAATGCTTTGTTTCCTCCGCGTTCAGGCACTCACACACTTGGCCGCTGTTCCAAAATTTCATTCCCCAGTTGTGCATCAAAAGATGGGTGTATGAGTTCGCAAGAGTCCCTACTGTATAAAGTTGAAGAATCCGACGCATCCGATGTACATCAATGGCTTGAAGCTGTTTTGGGACCATTCATCCCACGGCTTCCAATTTTAGAAAAGCGTGCAGATCCAGGAACTACTCAGTGTTTGTTTGGTTCAGGACTTTTAGCCAGCAGTCCTGGAGGACCCCAGTATGTGAAGTGTTGCATTCTGTCATTGCACTCACCTGATCCAACTCACAAGGTAATCAGTAGGGCCTTCACGGAGAAATCAGCTTTTTTGCGAAAGGGCGGTCCTTACGTTGCTGTCGTCTGCCAGAGTCCAGTTTTGTCACCTTTTCCACTATTAAAGCGACTGTCTTAGTCGGTCTAAGCGGCTGCCTAGTACACCGCAGGTCCTGGATGTGCATTCCAACGGTGGCTATTAGGTCTCTCCAAGATTGTCAGGAATGTCGCATATAAATAAATAGCCCACTTAGGTTTTGGACAAATGATTGTTTTTCTTGCTCTGTGGCCTTACCTCTTTTTTCTGATGCTTTATGTGAGTCTTATGGTTAGATTACAGGATCCACTGCGTCTGTCCATTTTGTTAACCGTTTGTGGGAGAGTTGCTCAAGTTAGGCTTTTGTTGGATTTAATGCTGCTCAAGTCAATAGAAAAGCCTGGGTCTGACTCCCAGCGGCGACTGTTACTTGTACTGTTTGCTCAAAAGCCTGTCAAAGAGCAATACGGAGCACTGCAGCACGAGGACCCCTTTCGCTCTGCAGGCTGCGGCGCCGTGGCTTAGTTGGTCAAAGCGCCTGTCTAGTAAACAGGAGATCCTGGGTTCGAATCCCAGCGGTGCCTGGTGTTTATAGTAAACGTTTTCAGGCATGTTGCATCAAAACGACGGCTCCCTCGCCATTTTGACAGCGTCCTATGGGCTCTGTGGCGCAATGGATAGCGCATTGGACTTCTAGACATAGGTTTGAGGCCATTCAAAGGTTGTGGGTTCGAGTCCCACCAGAGTCGGGAGTTTTCTCACCTTGCGAGAGTTGAGTCCCCTGTGTCTGCTGCTCCCTTCCTAAGCACAGGCTAAGCACTGTGAAAGAGAGGGAAGCACAGGTTTGTGCATGAGGCCATTCTCACCCTCTATGCTGGAATGCTTTGTTTCCTCCGCGTTCAGGCACTCACACACTTGGCCGCTGTTCCAAAATTTCATTCCCCAGTTGTGCATCAAAAGATGGGTGTATGAGTTCGCAAGAGTCCCTACTGTATAAAGTTGAAGAATCCGACGCATCCGATGTACATCAATGGCTTGAAGCTGTTTTGGGACCATTCATCCCACGGCTTCCAATTTTAGAAAAGCGTGCAGATCCAGGAACTACTCAGTGTTTGTTTGGTTCAGGACTTTTAGCCAGCAGTCCTGGAGGACCCCAGTATGTGAAGTGTTGCATTCTGTCATTGCACTCACCTGATCCAACTCACAAGGTAATCAGTAGGGCCTTCACGGAGAAATCAGCTTTTTTGCGAAAGGGCGGTCCTTACGTTGCTGTCGTCTGCCAGAGTCCAGTTTTTGTCACCTTTTCCACTATTAAAGCGACTGTCTTAGTCGGTCTAAGCGGCTGCCTAGTACACCGCAGGTCCTGGATGTGCATTCCAACGGTGGCTATTAGGTCTCTCCAAGATTGTCAGGAATGTCGCATATAAATAAATAGCCCACTTAGGTTTTGGACAAATGATTGTTTTTCTTGCTCTGTGGCCTTACCTCTTTTTTCTGATGCTTTATGTGAGTCTTATGGTTAGATTACAGGATCCACTGCGTCTGTCCATTTTGTTAACCGTTTGTGGGAGAGTTGCTCAAGTTAGGCTTTTGTTGGATTTAATGCTGCTCAAGTCAATAGAAAAGCCTGGGTCTGACTCCCAGCGGCGACTGTTACTTGTACTGTTTGCTCAAAAGCCTGTCAAAGAGCAATACGGAGCACTGCAGCACGAGGACCCCTTTCGCTCTGCAGGCTGCGGCGCCGTGGCTTAGTTGGTCAAAGCGCCTGTCTAGTAAACAGGAGATCCTGGGTTCGAATCCCAGCGGTGCCTGGTGTTTATAGTAAACGTTTTCAGGCATGTTGCATCAAAACGACGGCTCCCTCGCCATTTTGACAGCGTCCTATGGGCTCTGTGGCGCAATGGATAGCGCATTGGACTTCTAGACATAGGTTTGAGGCCATTCAAAGGTTGTGGGTTCGAGTCCCACCAGAGTCGGGAGTTTTCTCACCTTGCGAGAGTTGAGTCCCCTGTGTCTGCTGCTCCCTTCCTAAGCACAGGCTAAGCACTGTGAAAGAGAGGGAAGCACAGG